TGCGATTTGGTGCAGTTAGATTATGTCCCTGTATCATTTGAATTTGTAGCCACAGCTCCTGTTTGAGGGCAGCTTGATTTAATAAGCATTTTACTGTGCTGTATTTACTGAAACAGCTATGTCATGCCTCCAGTTTTTATGATGGCTCCTATTATATTTGTATCATTTAAACTGTAGCTGTGGTTATGAGTAGGATACTGGGATTTTCTTCTTTCTTGTCTTTTATCTCTGACTGTTGCTGCTGTGTCCAGACCTGATTTAGAAAATTAAAATGTGTTCTTCCTTGCACCTTTTGCTCTTCATTAGGGACTGTAGTGGTAGGACAAGGGGTAATGGGTTAAAACTTAAACAGGGGAAGTTTAGATTGGATATAAGGAGGAAATTCTTTCCTGTTAGGGTGGTGAGGCACTGGAATGGGTTGCCCAAGGAGGTTGTGAATGCTCCATCCCTGGCAGTGTTCAAGGCCAGGTTGGACAAGGCCTTGGGTGACATGGTTTAGAGTGAGGTGTCCCTGCCCATGGCAGGGGGGTTGGAACTTGATGATCTTAAGGTCCTTTCCAACCCTAACTATTCTATGATTCTGTGATTATCAGCAGGAACAGTGGGTACATGACACTTGGGCTGTGTATGGTAATGAGCAACCCAAAGGTAAAACATGGCAGATGAGCAGGGGGCACTTGCCTCTGTGTGAAACACAGTGAGAACTTACACTGGTGGTGCTCTCATTTATTGGGGACCAGAAAGAATAAGCTCACAGGAAACTTAACAAACGAGTATGGCAGTGTCCTGTGGTAGCTGTCCTAGTGGGCAGCACTGCTGTGTCATGGTTCAGGCCAGAACTGTGCGAAAGAGGGCACAAATTGCTCCTTGTCAGACTTGTATAAATGGGTGTTTGGCTAAAGGAGGGTGGTGCCAGCTGACTGGTGGCAGGCAGCCTCACTGAGTGCAGTGCTGTATCAGTGATTTTGCTGGCAGTGAAAGCCCAGCTCTGACTAAACGTACTTTATTCTTTTAGAGCCCCCCCGGTTTTCTAAATATGTTGTGGCCCAGTGTCACTGTGCTTCATTTGTTATGTGCTCAGTTGGAAGCCTCTTATTTATGAATAGGAGCATTACTTGGATTCTCAAATATGTAGGTACTTAAAGTGGCACTTTGTTGCTGACTCTGCAAATCTGCTTTTTGTTCATTGATTATAATGGCTCTTGTGTGGCAGCTGGATTAAATTAAGACTGAAGTCTCTGGGCTAAAAGCCCTGAAGGAACTTTTGTGCAAAGGCTGCATTTCTCAACCAAATAACTTTCTCTGGTGCTTCGACAGACTGCCTGCATACCATTATGTATTGTGGACTAAATACCTGCAAACTTACTTACATTTCTGATGAAGCCAATTCCACAGCAGCTGTATTTTATTGTAGCCTACTTCAAAAATAACTAGCTTGGATTTAGATCAAAAAATAACGTGGATGAGTCAAATCTGAGACAACTGAACCATGTCCAGCTCAGTGCTGCTGTGTCAGTTTGGCTACAGCTCAGACGAAATGCCATCTTGTCCTCCAAGGAGAGGCAGCGGCTCTGGGTCTCAGTATCCCTTGCTGCAGCTTGAGCCAACAACTCACTTGTATTGAGATGTCTCTCGGTGTCCAGCCGCAGCTTGGGGCTGGAAAATCTGACCACTGCCTGCCACACAAAACATTGGGTTTTTGAGCTTCAGTTTGAAAAACCTAGTGACCAGTATGAAAAGGTGGCCATTCGAGCTTTCCAAGTGAGAAGGTAAAACATAACTCACTGATGGTTATGCCTGCTTAGTGGGTATAAATGCTTTAGATAATTAAAGCTGTGGCTGACGCGACTGTATGTCAGAACTTTTCCTTTGTGTTTACACAAAGTACCCATGCATGGAGGAGTGCTCCTACAGGGAAACAGTTGGCCTACAAGTGCTGCTGTTAGGATTAGCTTGTGGTAGTACAACCTCTGCAGTTCTAAGTACTGAACCCACCTGCAGGCCTTTCTCCAAAGCTGCAATGACAAGGCAATGGATGTGGCATGGAATAATTGGCTGTTTGTGTTCGTGCTGGGGTGAGCTGGGGTCTGCCACAGCTGTCACCAGTCTTTTTTTTGGGGAAGAGCCACTTGCAGAGTGAGAGGGAGCCATTTGCAGGGTCATGAGCTGGACCTCACACACAGATAAAGGAACTGCAAAGGTTGGGGTCCCTCCATCCATGCGTGTCTGCAGTGCTGCTGGAAGTGCTGCAGACAATTGTGGAGTGCCTGTACATCCTACGGGAGGCCTTAAGGGTCCAGGACTAGAGTTGTCCTAGAGGGAACACTGCGTCCCAGTGCACTCTGGGACCACACACTTTGGTCACTCATGAAGCTCCACCTTTTTCATCTCTGTTGCCTCATGGCAGCACCTGAGCATTTCTGTAGACTGGCTTTACTGCAGGTAAATTTAGGCTGTATGGCCTGACATGACATGGGTGCTGGAGCCCAGCCATAGGAGAAGGAGCACTCTCAGTGGCTTTGTGCTCCCACTGCAGGTATCCCTAACTATGGATAGTCTTAGCCCAGGGGCTTTTCTAGTTGGAGGTTAAATTTGCCATTGCAATGGGCAGAAAAGAACTGGCAAATTACAGGTCATGGCAACTTAGGATTTTGTATTTCACTGCCTCCTCAAACTGTTTAGCAACAGAATTCTCTCTGTGTGTACATTACCTGGAAGTTCACAGCCTCTGAGGCGACAGGAATGACTTGCACTCAACAACCAACCCCGTGCAGGTACACATCTGAGCATCTGGGTCGATACATTTTGACATCCTGTCTGCTGTAACTTGGTTTTATATAGCTATTAAGGGAAGCAGCATCCAGTGAACTTTGGAGCACTTGTAAACAGCATTGCAAAGAAGATACAGGCAACAATGGCAAAAAGACCTGGAGCATGCTATCGTGTCTTCTCCCTTGCACAGCTTGAGTTGAGTGAAAACCATTTGCTTTTCTTTACATGCAAAACCCAAACACTCTACATGGTGAGCATACACCCAAGGCCATAAATCACTTGGAAGATGGTGCTGAGGTCAGTGGCTGTGACAGGGTGTAGGTAGGGGGTGCTCGGAGCAGACAGAACATGACAGTACACTGAGACTGTGCCACTGGGTGGAGTGGAAAGGGGCGGCAGTGAAATTGCAGCATGAAGCTGTAAATTTTTTAGTTAAGGTTCCTATCATAGGCTTCTATTTTTAATACAGTTAAAATTTAAGTCTGCAGCCAAGGCTGAGTGCTACAAATTCTTTCTTCACAACTTGAGCATTGCCAGGATCTTTTTAGACAACTTTTTTCTCCTCTTCTGCAACCTCGGATATAGGATACTTCAGCTACGCAGGACACTAAGTATCATCTCTCCACCATCAGGACTGATCCCCTAAATGACTCCCAGCCACAAGTAGAGTAGAGGAGATAGATTGTCGTGACAGTGTCTGGTGTCAGCTTTGAATTTGTGAACGTATTCCTTGGTTCATGGATGGCTGCTGCTGAAAATCTGCACCAAACTGTCCTCACTTCACCCTGCCTACCGCTGGTGCACAGATGGCATCGGCAGTCAGCAGCTCAGGGAGCATTGCTGTAGCTAAATACAACTTGCAAGTTGGGGTCAAAGCCTCAGTCTTAATTCCTGAGTTCCCAGCTCTGATAGCACCACACTTAAAGCAGCCTCCTGGGCTGCAAAATATTCTGACATTAAATGCTTCGTGGTCAGGTGTTGCCTTTTGTCTTGCAGACCCACCTGTCCTGTGGGTGTGTTTTAATTTGTCTTTACAATAGCAGATAGATACTAAATTCCTTGTGGCTGCTGCTTCTGTCTTTTAACATGCTCTATTGACTGTTATGGAAATAGAAACAAAAGCGGTTTTTGCACAGTACAGAGTTCGCTTGTGGAGTATTCAGCATTTGCCTTTAGCTCCATTTAGGACATAGAGGAAGATGGTGGTTGTATGTTAGCTGCTTTATCAGGCTCTTGGCAGGCAAACAAGGATCTGGTGTTCTGGCTGTAGGGGTTTGATCAAACTGGTGTGAAGAGAGTGATGAGCCCCTGGATGCTGCTGCCATAGTGGGAGCAATGTTTGCTGGCCCTGCTGAGCCTTCCCAGCACTAGACCCTATGCTGTCAACTACTGCTGCTCTGGTAGCTCCACACATGTTAAGAAGATTCATTCTCTTGATCTCCTTTGACTCCAACCACTTTTTTTTTTCTCTCAGAAATTTACATTTGTGTGCATCTGCAAAAGATTTCTGTAAAAATTTCATAAGTGTTTCATGATGTAGTACAGCACTGATAGACTACAGCTGCTCTTTCCCTTCCCTGGAACGGGAAGGATGTTACAATTATCCCTTTTTAATCTTTCTTGTTACCCATTTTGTCTGACAGGTGGGGGCAAAAATAAACTGAGATTTACAGTGAATCAGAGACACACAGAATGGTTTGGGTTGGAAGGGGCCTTAAAGCTCATCCAGTTCCAACCCCCTGCCATGGGCAGGGACACCTTCCACTAGACGAAGTTGCTCCAAGCCCCGTCCAACCTGGCCTTGAACACTGCCAGGGATGGGGCAGCCACAGCTTTCCTGGCCAGTCTGTGCCAGTGCCTCACCAACCTCACAGGGAAGAATTTCTTCTGAATATCTAATGTAAATCTCCCCTCTGTCAGTTTAAAGCCATTCCAACTTGCCCTGTCACTCCATGCCCTTGTAAAAAGTCCCTCTCCAGATTTCTTGTACCAGTAACCTTTAGGTATTGGAGGCTGCTCTAAGGTCTCCCCAGAGCCTTCTCTTCTCCAGGTTGCACAACCTCTCAGCCTGTCGTAATAGGAAGACGTCACACAGCTTGGTGTCATCAGCAAACTTGCTGAGGATGCACTTAATCCCACTGTCTGTGTCGCCGACCAGGTTGTTAAACGGGATCAGTCCCCATCCCAGAGATGTTAAACAGGATCAGATACTGACCCCTGAGGAGCACCACTTGTCACTGGTCTGCAATTGGATATTGAGCTGTTGACCACAATTCTTTGAGTGTGACCACCCAGCAAATTCTTTATCCACTGAGTGGTCCCTCTGTCAAATCCATGTCTCTCCAGTTTAGAGACAAGGATGTCATGTGGGATAGTGTCAGATGCTTTGCACAAGTCCAGGTACGTGCTACCGGTTGCTCTTCCTTTATCCATTCAAAGATCTAACATGCTCATATAGACTCTACTCATAATATAGAACCTGGCTCATGATTGTTAACAGATTTTGTAACATAGTAACAAAGTGTAATTACATAGGAAACAAAGGCCTAAGAAGAAAGAGCCACTAAAAACCCTTTACCAGCAGCAGCCATGCTACAGTAGTGGAGATCCCTCTTTCTTTTAAGTACAGCTTCATTATTACTCTTCCAAATCCATTACTGTTTTGCTTTCTCTTCTTTTAAGAGGCAGCCACTACAGCAGAGGGGCAACAGCCCAACAGCAGCAAGCTGTGCAACACAAAGCATTAATCCTGGAGTACCATGGTTTAGAAACAACTCCTGTTTTTCTCAGCTTGAGGGTGTACCTTGAGATTAAGAAAGCCCTTGTGCCTTTTGTTTCTTGCTGCCATGGCAAGAGTTGAACACAATTCCAGCATCTAAAAGTTCGCTGTATAATCTAAAGCTTTCTCGATGGAACACTTAACGGAAAGCTCGCACCACCGTAAGTAAAAACTGGTATTTTTTGCTCATGACATGAAAAGTGATAGTAAAAGCCTTTGTGTGAAGGTGGGTCATATGGAAATACTGGGGAAAGGTTGGTTTGGGTTTTTTTTAGGGAGTTTTGGATGTTTATGGGTTTCTTTTCATTGTTGCTGAGGGGTCACAATTTCTGATTGAACCCATGTTACGGCTTTTTGTCACTTGTATGACATTTGAATTGTAAAGTTATTTTTATGTGAATCATGGGTATACATTTTAATTCATTAAATCTATTTGGAAACCATAGGGGTTTATTCGCGCTAACAGGAGTCCACACTTGAACAGTGAGCCAGTTTGTACAGAACTGTCCTGTTCAAGCCATACATCAGCACTACTATGCATGAGGATAAGCTGCTCATGAGGTTGAGCAACCTAGTTACACCTAGTGTTGCAGGTACTGCATTTGCAAAAGGTGACTGTAGTCCCAGGGCTGTATATGCTGCACTCCTGTGACAATGTCTGCCCTGCAGGCAGAACCTGAAGGACTGTTCTGAGGGAGCACCTCTGCGGTCTGAGGCAGATGTGATCTTTAAAATGTACAGCTTAGCAGCCTCCAGAAGGAGTTTAAGAACTTCAAACCCCTGGTACTAAATGGGATTTCTTTCCCTAGCCACTGTAATTGTGATAGGCTGCTCTAGTTGCGTTTCCTGTTAATAGTTTGAGCGCCCGAAGTGATTTGGGGCTGGGAAGTTAACACTAGGACCCTGCCTTTCTGTGGCTGCATAAAGCCAGAGCTGAAAACTGGAAGGTATTAAAAAACCAGCATGAAACACTCCTCAAGATTAAATAGTGGAACAGACCCTGGACCCCAGCTGAACCCTGCTCAGTTTTGGTACACCAACTGAATGTTCAATTCCCTCCACAAAGTGCTGCAGTTCCAGGTGAGAGCAGAAAGCCACATGCCAGAGAAGGGAGCAGCTCTGGAATTGGTGTGTTTGTAGCACAGGGTCAAGTCTTGCCAGCAGAGGAAAAATCGAACTGGCAGAAGCACATCTGCTATGCTGAACCTCACAGGCCAAAATAGAATGGGAACCTCAGAAGGTCTCAGGCACACATCATTCAGCCCTTTTCAGAACTGAAAGAGCTGTGAGTAGGCAAAGCAGGTGTTTGAGTACATCACAAGGTGAAGGTGAGAAAATGAACTGACACTAAGTCTTAGACGTAAACACTTGCATCTGTTTGTGGCACAAGCCTTGGTCACTGAAACACCAAGTGACTTCAGTCTTTCCCCATCCCTCAGAAACCAGGAAGAATGACAGCAGTGGACATGTTTGCCCCTTCTGCTAGTCACAGAGACACACACGTTCTTAATTACTGCTGTGGTTTTTAATCATTGTCACCTCTGTGCTCACGCTAACAGTGTGCACCACCAGATTTTGCATTCAAGATGGGTGAATTTCCCTCCCCCCAGAAGGCAGCTAGGAAAGCCAAGTTGACACTTACTTATTACAAAACTAACCAATACAGCTTCAGCTCCCTGCATACTCACAGGCACTTTAGGAACTTGTTTCCCATGGCTGTGAGGATCACATCTCTGAAGGCCACACTGATGCTAGGGAGATGAAAATGACTGTATCGCCTCCTGCAGTTCTCTTTCTCATCTGCCTTTGGCTGTTGCACCCAGGCAAGGCTGGGTCAGGCCAGCCCACAGTGCTACCTGAAGTACAAGCAGCCATCCTGATGCTACGAGAGGAGGCACGGAAGTTCATTTGCAGTGAACCAGACAGAATGAAGTGCGTGTCTTGTGTAGACGCTGGTATGGGTTTTCCCTCTTGTGGCTACCCTAACAGCTTCTTTTCTAACAGCTGCTTCACCAGAACAGGATTGGATCGTCCTTGGGTTTTCCTTTGTACCAGGCCGATTAACTTGTTCAGAACTTTGTGATTTCCTGCCTTGATTGCCATAACCTTTGAAGAAAAAAAAGACAACACTGTTACAGAAAAAGCAGCCAAGGTATGACTGTTCTTGTCCCTTGGACCATGGTGGTAAATACCGTATTCTGGGCCAAGGTGTTATTTATAAAAACTGCCTTCAGCTTTGCAATCAGCTCCCGCTCTGCTCCCACGAGGCAGCAGCAAGTCCCTGCAGAGCAGCAGGGCCTTATGACTAATAGAAAGATCTCCTCTTATTGAAAAAGTCAGAAAACACTTTTGGATTTTAACAGCCGCCTGCAACTTGAACAGCGATTTCCTGGAAGAGAGCCAGAAAAACGAGATGGGCTTCTCTTGCTAATAGGATCTACCTTTTCAGTCAATATCATGCTCGGTTGTAACAAGTAATTTGCATCAAATCTTACTCTGATAAAATGTGAGGTCCTTCAAGCACAAACGTAGGTGTTTCTGTAACAGCAAGTTATTTCCTTTAAGCAAGGAATCCTTTGCAACACAGCAATTAATTAAGTGATCAGAAATACGACCTCCTAGCAGACAGCTAGTGTTTGATGCACAATCACCTACAAAACAGCAATGGCCATGTTTAAAAGCTAAGTAAAGACAGTGAAAAAAAACACTGGAAATTTCAGCTTTCTGGGCATTCCTAAAGGAGATGCTACTGCTGAAAGACAAGCACCTGGCCTTGTGGCAGCAAAAACATTCTCTGCATTGTCAATTACTGGGCAAAACGTGATAGCTTCAGTCCAACAGGAGGTCATATTTACAGATATTAAGGGAAGGATTTTGAACATACGAACCACCAACTGTGCCAACCCCAAACACAAATGCAAATATTGCCACTAGTCATAGTATACAAATTATTGGCAGACTAAAATCTCTGTAGTGTCACAGAGTGAGACTATCTCTCATAGCTCAGGAGTGACAAGTACTCCTGAGCTATGAGAGATTACCTATATGGGGCAAAGGGCAGGACAATCCAGGTGCCGCATTTTCATGAGGTGCTCAGTGGTGGCTTGAGCAATTCTTTGTAAGTTAGCTTATTACAAAGAAAGTTACTATGAAAAACAGTGTAGTTCCCTTCTCTGCCTTGTCTCCCCCCAAGTATGGAGCTGATGCTATTTTGTAAGGCAAGCTCTTGCAGCAATTTGAAGCAGTGTAGTACAGGCCTTCAAGGCAGCTTTTGCCTTGGTGAAAGAATCAGCTGGAAAAAGTTACAGAAGCAAGGCCATCCTACTGCATTCAGTTTGACAAAAACAGTGGAAAACAGAGAGGAATTGCATTCTTGGAGAAAGCATTATTATTGAAATGGGAGTGCAGTTATGGACCTTCAGCTTCTGTACTTCCCAATCCGTTCCAATGCTCTTTCTATCCAGGCTGAGAACACAGCAGCACTTTTATCAGGCTCTGCAAATGAGTCAGCCTGATGGAGGTCACGCCGACCTACTGCAGGCTCATTTTCTTTATCAAAAGCTCTTGCAGAGCTGTTAGCATCCCCCAGTGAGATCTGGGGTGGGTGGTATTGTTCTCAAAAGATGCTAATGGTTTTTTTTCCAAATGGCAAATGTAGCCAGACAATGTTTATATTAAAAGGAAGCTATTCACTTCTGCTTTTACATTTGCACTCCAGAGAACATGTAAGTACTCGTTTTCATTTTGCTTTTTATAAGGCAGATTTTAGACTCTGTCAGGATCCCTTCCTGCTCCTCCCCTTCATGATAAACAAGTTTGTTTTCCCTTTTTCCCAGCCCAGACTTTGTTAGACTGATAAGTGAAGCAGGCTGCTGCGTGTCCTTCCAAGGAGATGGGGAAGAGCCAAACCCTCATCTTCCCTTTTGCAGAGCAGAAGGGAAGCGGCTCTGGAGCCACCGCTGCCACGGGGTCCGGCTCCTTGCCACCCCACACTGGGAGCCAGCTGGACTCTTCTCTTTGGCAGTGAAGGGAGACAGGGACATGGGGAAGAGACAGATGCAAGAAAATTTTTTTGCCTTGCCAGCTCTGGTACAGCCTCTAATTCCATAACTAATATATTCCTTGCTGGCAGGTAGCTTCAATCTCCAGCTTTGGAACAGTGTAACAGTGTTGTCCTAATATCACAAAGGATGACGTAAAGATCAGAGTGAGGTGGCCGGGTAGAGGGTCAGGTTAATGGTGGTACAGCTGCAGAGGGACAGGGCCCTGCAGTTCTGCTTTCCTGCATTAAGTTTTTATGGTGTCTCAGAATGACTTAGCGCATTAGCCAGACTGGTAATTTCTTCTGCTGATCATTTTGTGCAAGCTTCAATGTCTAAAAAAACACTTGGTAAAATAAGAAAGGAGAAGAAAAGGCTGATAATCACTCAGCAGCAGCTTTACTGCTCCGATACTGGCTCTACAGCTCAAATGCCAATCAACAGGGGAAAAAAAAGTGAGACCATTTTAACCCCCTTTTCAGTGCCACATAGTGCTGTAGAGCACAAGCTTCCCTCCACCATCATAATCACCTCATTTTCTTGTCCATCAATCACCGCCTGGCAGATCTGTTCAAGTGCTTCTTGATCCTGTATCAGTTCAAGTTTCTTTTCTTTAACAATTTCAAGAGGAGTCTTCCCTTCTCCTTTCCACAATTCCACAAGCACCTGAAAGCCACAGTGTGTAGCAGAGGTCAGTGTCTTAGCAAGGTTGTTTACATGCAGTATTTCAATTACTGATCCAAGAAGCCAGGTTTTATTTAAAGCAACAACAGATTGTCTAAATTGAACAAACCCAAGATTTAGTCCTTGCTGAAGCACTCTCCCTCCTTTTCTGCTTCCTGAAATAAGACAAAGCATTTTCACTTACTGCATGAGCGCAGCCTACCACAGCACTGGGGGCTGCCTGCTACCACCCAGTGCCCGTACCTTGCCTCCTCACAGGTGTTTCCTGAGCACACCTTGCTGGGAGAGGGGGTCACCACGGATGGCAGCACTGTCCCCAACTGCAGGGCTGCTCCTCTGGCAGTACTCATGCTCATCTCACATGATTCATAAGAACTGCCTGAGAGCACTAAGCAAATGCATTTTCATGAGCTATGTCTCTGCCCAGGAGCTGACCATTAGCTAACTATTGTACCAAGTCCAGTCCCAGGTAATTCACCCCATTACCAGTTCTCATCAGCAAGCTGTAATGAAGGGCATGTATGACAAAACAGAAGAAAAAT